TTCCAAACTCATCCAAAGGAAAAAACAGTCAGAAACAGAAACCTAAGCAAACCGATGTTTTTAAACCCTTGCTGCTATTACAAAACTAAAATATACACATATTTATATTCTATAAAACTACTAAATTTCGTTTTTTATGCGTATCCGTTGAATTTTTTCGAGTGATCCTTTGGCATCTATATAAAATCGTTGTCGATTTTTTAAAATTAAAAGCCTATATGTTCTTTTCCGCTTGAAATAATGTTGATATTTAGGAAAATAGGGCATAAATAAGGCTAGTCTCATGTTTTAATTTTTATTTTAATATAGGGTCGGAAATACCTCCTCCACTGAGTTGCAAAGTTTGGACTGAAAATTTGAATACCCTATGCAAGGGTATAAAAAAGTGGCTTGGATGTGCGGAAGCTAGAAGAACTGGGCTGTTGGCCCAGTCAAACACATAGTTGGAATTCTGGCGCACAATTTAAAAGCCGGCCAACAACCACAACAATCCCATTGCCAACCCATCACATCCTTCAAATTTGCCCCAAAAAACGAATTCGAAATCCAGTTGGCAACTGTTTCCTTAAAGCAACGACCAGGATGGACCCAAAGCCGGCTGCCTAGCCCATATGAAAGGCGAAAATATGTCAAATTGTCATTCACAAGCATGTGCAAACTATGTCGTCGTCCGTTGAAAGACCCGAAAAGCTATGGAAGCTTCGAGGGATCATCGTGTGGTGATGGCACCGGGAAATTATGGGCAAACGGACAACACCTTGGCAGGCAATAATTCATCTGAGATTCCATTTTAAGGATTTAAAGCGTTACATCGTTCAGCATACTTTGGAGAAATTCAGTATCTACAAACAACACATGTTACCATTTATTTTCGTTGCAGCAGGCAAATTTAAACTTTCTTTATTCCATTCTGCAGTATGACATTAGTTTGCAAATTGAAATATTTACATACATAAAAGGGTAAACTTAAAATATGAAACTAACTTTGATTTACATAAAAGAAACTTAAGCACATATATTCTTGCTTTATAAATATATTATTTCATTTTTTTTTAGAACTTATTAGTGTGAACCTGTTTTTTAATCGTGCATAGTTGTTTGCCCAACTTTACCATGTTGATTTTTTTTTAGTCTGAATATGTGTGCCAAACGGGGAGGTGCACTCAAGCGGCAATAAGCCGGTTTGCCTTTTGAAAATTTTTCGACATTTGCAAATGCCATGAGAGTTGTTACGCATTTCACGCTCTTGTCATGCACTGCCGCCTACATTTAGTTGGTTTGAGGGTGTTAAAAGGTGTTTCTTTCACTGGCACTATGCTTAGTTTAGTTAGTGGGGAGAAATTATATTAAATGTTAAAGTGTAGCAGTATTAGGAATTAAACTTTAATGAAAATGATTAGATTTAAAATTGTACAAAAATTAAACGTATCTAAAAATTTAATGGAAAAATTAATAGTTAATATATTACTCAATAGATTTAAGTAAAACATGTAATCCCCTTGTTTAAATTCGAATATGTTAAAAACAAATTTATTGAAATGCATATTTTGTTTTTGTTTTTGACTGGTATATTTATGTATTTGTTGTAACATATAGGTTAAATTGGTAACCCAAGATATAGAAAAATGCTACAGAATTACAAGCTTATTTGCATATTAAATTAAATAACTGCGAGCATTCAAATGAGCTGACCCAACTCATTTTTGTATCCCAGGTGGTCTGACCCAAGCGAATCACATTAGTCCAATAGAAATGCAACCCAACTAAGACCCCTTCCAAGATGGACAGTAATCGTAGTTTAAAGTTGCCGGGATGACTTTGTGAATAACTTAAACTGCTTTAGTGTGATTAATATTAATGGCAGATATGCCTCCAGTGGCAAGGGAACTTGCACTTCAGTTCCATTACGTCTAATGAACCGCATAGCCATAGCCATAGCCATAGCCCCAGATGGAAGACAATGCCCCAAATTGCAATGCGACAGAGAGATGATGGGCTTGGTCACATAAAAACTGCAACAGAGTTTCCAATTTGCGGAGATCCCCTTTATGCGTTTTATTACAGGCAATTCCCATTCTCGAGATGGAGGGCCACCACCATCTGGCCCCCAAGATACTATATGTATGACTGGCCATGTCGATGGCTTCGTTTATGGCCCACATGGCCCAAATAGGTGGACGTTGATCAAGATGGAATTTATATCGATGTTGCGAAATTTTGCAACTTGTCACTGCTCTGAAGTCAAACCAAATTACATTATACACTTGGGTAAAATACATGAAAATTGTTAAGAGACCAGAGAACAGAGAGCAGTTGGCTTAGCCCAAGGAAAGGGACAAAGTCAGTGGTGACTTTGGGGGCTTTGGTTTTTGATAAAAGTTTTCAAAAGGAATCTCATATTTTCCTGTTTTGCCGTTTGGAAGGTTGGACAAGTTACTTTGGAATTTGGCAAAGTTCCAAACGCATTTTTTGAGAGGTGAGCAATTTAGGTTTGTTAAACGATCAAGCTCAAGTTTAACACTTTTTAAAGAAAGTTATGAGTTAAATATTATCCGAAATAAAAAAATTCTAAGATTTAAAAAGGAAAAATATTTTAAGCTTCTTTAAATATCATAAGCTTTAAAACAGTTTTAAAGTATAATTTAATTAGATCAGCCCAGAAAATATTAAAACTGAATTTTAATTGACTTTCATATACATAAATTTTCAAATCTTTTTGTTGGAGAGAGAATATCCAAAAAAAAGCTGTCAATAAGATATTCCAAATAAATATACGAAATAATTTAATTGTGTCATCCATTATTATTATTAATTGTCAACATTTTTTATGTAACTAGTTTTTTTAAGAGAGTTCCAAACTTCGGCTGGCCAAAACTCGATTTCCTCATAGTCTTATTTATGGTTATTTTCTGTTGAAGCTGTGTGCTTATTGATAACTTTGCCGAAAACTAAGTTCGGCAAATGTTTTGATTTTCACTCCAGCAGATGGAATGAAGCAGCAACACCACTTTATATTCGCATATTGTTTAGTTTTGCCAAAAAGTTGGCAAAGTTTGCTTTCGACGCCGCCACAACTTGATTGATGGTGTTAAAAATGTTCAATCTGACTTTACAGTTGATTAATATTGATGAGTGGTTTGAGAGCCGAAAGCGAAATGCAGTTGAACAGCCAATGAGGGCCTTGTCAATTAATAACCCAAGAGCTAGATATCGATGGCCAATATGCCATCGTTTCCGGCCAAGAGTGGAAATGGCTCTCGTCGGAAGCCGGTAATTTGCCAAGGGCAAGTTTTGAGGCTAGACAGCGATACCACGCTTTAAGTGACTGCAATGCAATCTAATAAAAAATTTCCACCAGCGAAACTTTCCCACTGGTTCTGTTTTTTTTTCCTTTTTTGGCTTGTGTGCCAGGATGTCGTTGTCATAAGGAAACTAAGGATTTCCGTTTTGGCTTTGCTCCGTAAGCTGAACATCAGCTTTATAAAAATTTCAGTGGATATTGCGACACACACAAAAACTGAAAGGCACAAGAAATGAGCGGAGAAAAATTATGTAAAAAGTTTTTTGCTGCACGTTTAGCCACGCCCCCGGGTTATTACTTGGTCACAGCTGCTTGCCCAAAAGGGAGGTGTTTTTTTTTTTTTTTTTGAGGGCAATGGAGACCAAACACGTTTCAGTCGCACTGCTGAGCAACCATTTTTCATTAAGTTTTCGCGCCATATTGCCTTTCATAAGTTATATACAAGAAATAAATTTTATTAGTGTCTTGGCAATTGTCTGTCTCAAAAGAAATGATATAAATTTCAAGTCATAAATTATACCGAGTGTCTGTGTGCTCGATGAACTGGGAAAGTGCCTTTGACGTGAACCATTCCCCATTAGTTAATCCAGTCTTCGTGGGTTTTTCTGCCTGCGAAAACCCTTATCAACAGCAGCTTCGCCTCGTCAGTGGCACAACATTCTTTATTTGACAGGCCGAAGAGCAGGCGAGATAGTCAGAAATTTCTGATTTGCATACGTGGCGTATGCGTAACATGCCTGTACAACAAAATGTACACATTAGGGTGAGTCGTTTTGCTTGGACGCAAAAAAGTGGGCGGAACTTAATCTGTGGACAACAAGCAATAATGTCCTACAAGCGTCTAAAATCACTTTTTACCCTCCCAATTTGCAAAATAAAAATAATCTTGTTTTGGGAAAATAATCATTGTAATCATTAAATATTTATTTTTAAAATTTCTAATCCTATTTCAAAATAATTTAATTTTGTTGTTTTGAGATTAAAGCATTTGTGTGGCGTTTTTTTTTAATTTAATTTTGTTCTTGAGCCCTCAAATCGACCTACCCTAGTATCCCTGTTTTTTCAGTCGGCGTCTGGAGAGCTAATAAAACTTATTGTCAACCACAGTCTGACCCACTTTCGGTGTTTTTCTTTCACTGTTTGTACATATTCGCCGAATCCCATTGTTCGTCGGAATAATTTGAATTTTAGAGTAATGAAGTCACAAAATGTCAGTGCGCGTTATCAAAATCATTTATATGCGAATGCAAAACAACTTTTTGGCCATGGAGGTCGCCCCAGTGTGCTCCCATGTACCAGCTGCCAGTTGCCATATTTTTGTGGCACTGGATTTTAAATCGCTTACAATGCCTCAAACTGGATGCAAAGAACGAGAGAGGGAGATAGTTTGGCAGGCCAACTGGGAGTGCCAGAATATACAATTGCTGCTGGCTGAAATAAATGAGTTATTGTTTCGTAGTGTTGAAAAACTTTCATATGCTGCATATGAAAGTGTGTGAGCTGGAGAGTTAATGGACTCAGCTGGCGTAAGACCTTAAATACTTAACACTTTAATTGGCACAATCTGTGTGAGATATAGCCAAAATGTAATTTATTTGCTTAGTTTGCGATTACCAATTTGTTTTTTGCTTGCCAATAGTTCATCTGAGAGAATAACTTTTATAAGATAACAAATAGCGTTTTGCTTATTTTCAAGACAGCCAAACATATCTTGTCAAAAAATGTGTATGATTTTATGTAAAACCTGTAGAAATCTTTTTAAAATAAAAGACTCAATAACTTTTTTCCAGTTCCCGGTTTTTTGAAATCGTCAGTAACATCATAAAAATTTATTGCCTACTTATGAGCGCACATGCGAATTTTCCTTCCACGCAAGCTTTCCTGCCATTATGACCGTAATACTGTCAAAAACAAACACACAATAATTATAATGATGATCAAATAAAACTGGAAATTAGCCCAAAGTGAGTTAAGTCAAGCGGAGAAGGCGAACAAAGGCTCTCTACTGGCACTCTACTGGCACTCTACTGGCAAAAGGCAAAAAGTGACAGCAAAATTGACTCGAAGACTGCGGCTAATGAGCGTGCGATAGCGATGAAAGGAGTGGCCCGAAATCCCAGCAGAACTGGGTAAGAGGCAGAGATATCGTTGAACTAGTCAAATACGAAAACCGACTACAGCACTGCAATGGGCTTGTGTCAAGAATAAGCGTCTTAGTTTTTAACCCGAGAAGGGGTAAGAGGAAAAGCCGAAAGGAAAACAAAGACGACTAAGGCAGATGGCTAGAAGAAAAACTCAATTGCCGCACAAACTGAGCCGCTATTGTTTTCTTAATTGAGTGTCTCTGCCCAAGTGTGTGTGACTTTGGGTGACCAAAAAAAAAAAATTAAGTGTAATGTCAGTTAGAATATATTTGTTAATGTATTTGCAAACCAAAACATTTTATTTTAAATTTTAGACGTTGTGTAGTGCTCTTAAGTTTCTTATTAAAATGACTCATAAGACATGTTATATCAATTAGAATATACTGTGAATTCATTGCGCGGACCTTAAAACGCATTTAAGGTAGGTTGTTAAAACTATCATACACAGAAAAAAATTGAAAGTATATACTTAATATTAAAGAGGTCTACAAACAAGAATAATTTCTACTATCAAATGCTGCCAAATTTATATTAAAAACGATAGTTTTTCGCTTTCTTTCTCTATTCGAACACATCAAAGTATTAAGCCAATTATCAAGGCCTAATTCAAATGGAATTTCAGTAAATCGAATAACATTTCTGATCAATTTTCTTTTCTCTGTACAAATTTGAAGCACCCTTGTGTGCCTGTGTGTTTGCTCAAAGTCTTTGGGCACAGTGTGTACATTAGGTGTGTGTGAAAAGGGACCCTCTGCTCATTGCCGTCTATCTGCCGACAAAGTTCGCTTATCAATTACATTGAATTTACTCAGGCACAACTGGCTTTCAGAGCCCCTTCTTCCGTACCAATCAATGGCTGCCGGAAATGATGGCATAGGCAGTCACTTCGACTTTTGCACCCACTTTCCCTTCCGATTTGTCGCTGATTTCACAACTCGCCGCACGGAAATTGCCAGCCCCATTTATGGCTTTAGTACACAACCTTCTTGACCCCTCCCCCCTTTTTTCGACTCTTCGACTGCATTGCACTTGACGAAGGCAAACATTTTATTATGTATTTTCAGCGACTTTTAAACTCCATCCTCCTCTAAAAGTCCCCTGATTTATTCCGCTCACGTTGCCATCGCTGCACAGTTTGATTGCCACATTCGCATGTAAATCTTGGCCCCTTAAAAATATCTTCCCACCAAGCGACACAATCCAACAAATCTGGCCCACGTCAACACGCATAATCGAGCTTTTAATTTCGGCCAATAAAACTTTGCCGATTTAAAACCAGCTACGTGGCACCTTGAGCCTAAAAAATAAAGCAATAAAATGGATATCTGGCTTTGACACAAAAAGTGACCTTATGTTTCTGAGTAAAAGAGCACTTGGAAATAAATCGAATTCTAAATTTTTACACTTTTATTTATCAAAACAATCAATTTTATATTAGATGAAGCTTCCTCCTATTCATTAAACTCTTAAAGACTTTAATAATATTAATGCATATATCAAAGATTTTTATTAAATGAATGCCAAGTGATCCATCAACTATTTTCGTGGCCCAGAAAGTTTGCCTTTAAAAAAAAAACAGATTTTGTTCATTAAACATCGTGATACCCTCAAAAAGACAAGCCACAACAAAAGTTTTTTTTTTCTAAGAGTATTTCAAACTTTCGCCAAGTTTACGCATAATTTTTTACGATATTTTTCCGCAGAGTTTCCTTTACCGTTGTTATTGTTGTTTGAAGGGACTTACAGAGATTTCTAATAGATTTCCGGGCAAACAATTTCATTCACTTTCTTTTATTGGATTTGGTTTTATTAATACCGTTTGCCTAAGCTGTGGGCATTAAGAATAGACAACTTTTTCTTGGTCAGAATATTAAATGAATTTGATGGAATTTGTTATCATATTTTATGTTAATTCTCGGGCAAAGAAATAAACATAGATATTGAAGTGGTCCTGTTGCTAAAAACAAAACTTGCTTGTTGTAACAACTTTAGATAAAAAGTTTTAAAAATCATTTTTTTCTTTGACATTCTTGCCAAAAACCAGACCAGATAAGAATGAACACTTTTTAAAGGAAAAATGAATCAAAAAGTGGATGCTTCAGAATTTATGTACGACGAGTTTACTGTAGAGAAGATTTTGGATCGAAGGCATTATAAAGGTCAAATTCAATACTTGGTTAAATGGCTGAACTATACCGATGAAGAAAATACCTGGGAAATGGCCACAGATCTGGAATGCCTTTCATTGATAAACTCTTTTGAATCGGTACGAAATCTAAAGAGAGGTCAAAATCTAAATACTCTATACGAAAAAAAGGCCAAACGTCTGAAAATTGATCCAAGCTTGGTTATAGATAATCCATTCAATCATGATTTGAAAGCCCAAGAAATTCGGGAGGCCTTTAAAATCAGTGGTGAAATATCGTTTTCAGTTAAGTTCTTTGATCTCGAACAACCTGTAATCATTCCATGTGGTGTAGCTTATGTGGAGATTCCGCAGATGGTTTTAAAGTTTTATGAAAAGCAATGGAAATTTGAAGATTCTCAGAATGAATATTTAAGGAATTACATTTAAATTCATGAAAAAAAACTTAGAATTTTTATTTTAAAACCCATATTAAATATTATGCAAGAAAGGCTCATTGTTTTGCAATATAATTCCTTTAAAAATAAATAAAAAATGTGCCGCTATTGCAGAGCATTACAAACAATAATGAAGGCAAAATGCCAACTTTTAAGTGATTTTGGGGCCTGTTTGTCCGGGAGGCAGCGCAAACACTTCTAATTGCATCAACAGTGGCAGCAAACAAAGAAGGCCAGCAATGTACGACATCCAAAATGAAGCGAAAATATTTGCATTCCGTTTTTCCGGGCATTCCCTTGTCTCAGTTGATGGGGCGTGGCCGGTCGGACAAACGGACGGACTTTGCCCTATTTATTCGTGTTTGCTTTTCGGCACTTGGGCTTTTGCCGCATTTACCAGTGGGAAAAACATCACGTAGCCACAACATCTGCAAAAAGGTCTCGTTTATGCCTTCTGCACTTTCACCGAATATTGATACTGCAATATCCGGCAAAAGAAGCTCGGCTCCAATCAATAAGACAGTACTTTCTTGTTCAATTTCAGTAAATTTATAGCTGCACTCGAACTAAATTTATGGGAATGTAAACTGAGAAAGATAATATTCTTTAATACTTAAAAAACCCAATTTCTTTTTGTAATTTATTTTTTAAAATAATGAACTACGAGAGGTAGGTAGTTTAGTCACTGTTTTGGTAGGTATTGGTAATTTTTTTTTTCGAAAAATAAACCAAAAAAAGCCACTCTTATAAAAGCTTGGGATTATAATGCATACCCAATGAATCTAGACCAGCGGGGAATTAATTAATTCTGTGTCTTGTTTATTTTTCGAGTGAAGTAAATGTAGCGTTTGTTTTTTTATTTTCGCGGGAATAATGAAAATAAATAGTTAAGCGCCTAGGCGTTGGCTCTACTATATCTTTCAAATGCCACCCCATATTCATTCCCTTTTGTTTTGCATGAGGTCAAGGGTTAAACATACACACGTGCATACATGCTTGCCGCATTTGTTTACGTGCCAGAGCCGACCCTCAAAACAATGGACTGCCATTGTTTAAAGTCCATGTTCCCTTCCCGCGGGGTCAACACAAGATGTAGATTACTATATGTGTGCTAAATGGGGGGTGTGCTACCCTGGAACTCATTATCGAAATTATGAATTATGCATTCAGAGCTGCCTTTCCGACCCCGAAACTAATTTGAATATAAATTTAACTCATAAATATATACAAGATGATTCCCGGCAGACGGCGCCAATGTAAGTAATTCTTTTTTTTTTTTTTGGTCCCCAAAAGCAACTAGCATAAAACAAATAATCATCAGCAAGGGCGAACAACCAACAACCAACTACTTGCCCAAACACGACGACATCAGGTCAAGCAGTCAAGACAACCAGCCGCAAAAACAGCAACTGAAGGGAACACTTCGACTTTTATGGCCAAAAGCGAACGGCAGGCTTATGCCCTTAATATTTAAACAAAAGTTCTTTGCCCACTTTTCGTGTTGCAACACATTTTCCCATTCTTGTCCACTTTTCGAGGAGGCTATCATGATCATCATTGTCTTGGCATTTGGGATTACTTTACTTTGGCGGCTTGGCATAAATTATGCAGCTAATTAAGTGTCTGCGAAGCTGTTAATAACAAAATGAAGGGCAATTATCAGGCGGCAAAAAAAGATAAAAGCTAAGCATAAATACTCGAGACTTACTGGCAAGTATTGTGTTTGCCTTTGAGTTTTCTTAAGCATTTTAGATACATCTCACAGGCACAGAATATGGTAGGTACTTAGATGACATTAGGGCAACGAAAAATGGGAAGAGACTTTTTACACAGGAAAAAACTATATATAGAAAAAACCTTTAAGCTTCCCATTTTAAAAAGTTTTTAGGCAGTTCCTAAAAAAAAGTGGGCCAAGCTAATAAAATATTTTATATCCATCTAAAAACTGAAACTATAGTGCACTACCTTTTTTATAATTGTTATAGCAGAACATATAAAAACCATCAACTTGGAAATGCAAAAAAGAACATTGCGTTTAACGATTTTAAATATTAATTTGCACAATATTTGTAGTTCATTTAACATTGAAGTATTCTAACCACTTTTTTTGTCTTTTTTATAACAATAATTTTATAAAACAAGTCAATAATTAATAATCTGAATGCCCATTTATGTGAATAAATAATATCCAAATAAGAAAGGAGTATTAAATAAACGCAAATTAAAATGTGCAACAATGACACACATTTGGGGACAATAAAAAAGCAGCACTTTTGTAATAAATTTGATATCATTTGCTGTTGCGCCAAGCTGCCAATTGCAATTAAACGCAATTTGTCCACAGCGTGAAACAGACACTTTTTTTGCTTCACAAAGACGTGCGTGGAAAAACCCGAGGAAATCAAATTTAACAGCACGGCAACAGGGAAAGCGGCATGAAAAAAATGCAGACAAAATTATATTCAACTCGGTGTCCCCACAAACCGATTATAAAAGTTGCGAAATGTGTGAATAATAGTGTTTTTTGTTGGGTGATTTCGTTAAAGCCACACGGAATGTAGAGTTCAAAGAAGGTAAACAAAAAACAAGTAGGAACGATATAGTCGATATAGACAAAAATCTGGTGTCGCCATCTGCCGCATTAAAGGGTCAAAACTGGAGGCTAAGATCGTTTTCGCTCTCTTTCGTTCTCTCACTTATATAAAATCCCTTTCTTTCAAATTTACTAGAAAATCAAAATTTCTTAATAACTTAACTAAAATAACAAAAATAATTTGTTACATTATTCTCAACGAATACCATAAAACCTTTAAAAAGAGCTCGAAAACTAAATTATGCCCAAGAGGAGGCGATATGGGCGTGGCCCGTTGAAATGAGCGGGACGTGTTAGCATCGAGCGTCGCAGAAAATAACAATTTATGGGGGGCCCACCCAGAAAACCTAGAAAAGCCGGGTGAATCATGCCGAAGATGTGGCTGCAATCGGCAGCCAGTTTGCAGCTGTGCATGGCAAGTAGGTGTTAAATATTTAATGATTTCCACAGCGCAAGCAAGCGGGGCTCGCAGGATTCGGGATCCTCCTGTTCCTGCCGTCGCAATTCGTTAAGTGCTTCGAGCTCACACACACACTTACTGAAACACATTCAGTGCATACAATATGCCGCAATTTATGCGCACAATTGGGCTGCCACGCCCCCAATCAAGGCGCAAGCTAGAGGCACACGTGCCGCTTTGCCTAGATCGTCGAAATTGAGCAACCGCTCGACGACCGCAAAACTAATTGAAATTGCGAAGCGCAGTCAGATGGCATTAGTTTACCTTGCTTCTCCGGATGGATGTACCGAAGGGGGGGTTTCTGATGATGATGATGAGGGGGGTTACTTGCCCCCAGAGTGGGCAGAAATTGTACACGCTGGCGACCAAAAACAACGGCTGGGTTGTGTCGTGCAAATTGGTACACGGTGCGTATACGTAACGGATTGGCATAAACAGTCCCTAAGCTTCAAAGCAAACTATTACCTTATATCAGTGTTAGCGGACTAATTGGTGTAGATAACAGGCTCTTAAATGGTTAATGAGTTTAATACCAACACAACTGATTTAACATTTAAATTGCACAACTATCTATAATCATTAATACAACCATTTTAACACCATTACACACATTTATGAAATTTTGTAATTATAAAAAATTATTGTTGATAATTAATCACAATGTACAGCAACAGGAAAAATGTTATGCTTTGAATTGTTTTTGAATTGAAGATTCCCATAAGTCATAAACACAATTTTATTTAAGTCAGTTTTTGATTTATTAAATAAGTCAATTAATAACTGTACTAGAAACGTTTTTAAATGCTTATTAAGCAATAATAAAAACGGACTCGATTAATTGCTTGATGTAAATATAATTTTCGGTATTGCAAATCAAATTTTGAATTTGATAACATTTTTTTTCATTTTATAATTAATCTTCTGTGAAATAAAACCAAATCGATTTGATCACACAGCTTATTCCTTCTAAAAGCCTTTTTAAACTGAAGCAAATTATTAACTTTGTTTTTATAAGTAATTTATATTTTTTTGGACGAGCACTGAAAACAAAAATATGACAACAGCAGATCTGCAAACGACTTCGAAATAACATTTATATATAAATGTAACAAAGATAAGGCAAACAGACACACACACAATCAATATGAGTACGGGCCAAAAACAATAAAATGGAAACATCAACTCGAGAAGTCGACAATGGAGGAAGGAAGCGGAAGGAATGTGACGGGACCATCGATGTTTGCCTCTTGGTTTGCCTTTTTCTTTTTTTGGTTCCCCGGACAATGACAACAATGAGTAGCAATGAACCAAAATGAATGAGTCTATAAATAAATGAATGCAACGTTTCAATTTTGGTTCAATTGGTCCGGGTAAAGACAAACATAAGTACGGACCAAATGTCCCACAATATTGGTCAACAAGAGAAAAGATGGAATCAGTGACATTGTCAAAATTATCAACATTATAATATCGCATAAACTTTTTAGACAAACCCAGGCTCAACTCATTTGTTGTTTGCTGTCCTTAAAGGATATTGAAGGTAATGACTTATTTGGATTCGCTAATGATCTAGGATCACGGTAGATGGATGGACTCACCACGCAGAACTTCTCGCTCTTCTTGGTGCACTCCTTCAGGTAGAGATGGGCAATGTCCTTGGTGTAGTTGGAGCACGGCGTGATGGAGCCCACGCCCTCGTTGTATTGGCCGCACATGTGGCACTTGAGCCCGTCGGCGAATCCCAGACTGCCGCTGCACAGGACGATAGCCACCAGGATGGCCAGGGCCTTTAAATGGCGGCTGGTGATGGTGGAGATCGATCCAGGCGACGATGAGAACGATGAGGATGCTGGAAGCATTGTCAAGGAGTGGGAGACCTTGTCCTCGTCTACGGCGTTGACAGCTGCTTTTGTTGACATTGCTTCTTGGTTGCCGCTCGACATTTTCATATGAGTTCTGACCTTTGCCACAGAGTTCACACTCACTACTAGCACACACTCACTGGCTCACTGACGAACTGACACGCTGAAGAACTGATACACTGATGTACTGGTACTCACTAAAATTACAATTTCGCTTTGTTCACGTCGGTGGAATCGTTTCGCTTTTTGGAAGCTTTTGTTTCTGCTGCGGTAATTCTATTAAAATAAGATTTTTGTTTTAAATTCTTTGGTTTTATGGCTTTTATATTCCTTTTAATATTTTTGTGCCTAAGATCGAAGACGATGTTTGCGTGTGCTTCAAAAGTGTGCATTATATTATATTTGTTAAATTTAATGGAACTTAAGTTAATATTTTTCAAACTTCTTCAGATATTATTTCAACAGAAACTTTTTAAATATCTCAAAATGTTTTTGGTAAAGACAATTTAAACAAAAGAATATTTTTGTATTTGAACATTTGCTCTGATAACCAAATCATTGAAAATGCTTTGAATATTATATATCTTTAAAAAAACAATTCTGAGATATGTACAAAATTTTGTTTGGCATAGGAAATCAATTTATTTTCTTGTCAAAATTCAAAGACACATTGGACTATTTGAAAGTATGTTTTTTATTTAAGAACCTGCTCCCTTCTGATAATAAAAACTTTAAAATGGTTTTTAAACGTTTTGAGTATTATAAAAAATTATTTTTAATGAAGTTTAGATATGCACGATTATTTAAATTACAATTTTTGTTTACATTTAAATACAAATCTTAAAAGCTTTCGAGATCTGAATGAAACAACTAAAGACTTGCTAACTATTGTAAAAATACATTAAAAATTTACTAGAACAGAAAACATCAGGCACATTTTTTAGTTAAATCCATAAAATTTCCAGAAAAGAAAAAGCCAATTTCGCCCAATGTCAATATCTATTTGCAGTTGCACGTTGCTGAATAAATCACAAAAGCCGTCGATGGTTTTGGAAACTGGTGTTGCATGCACCTTTTGTTTGGAATGCTACATTGCCAGCAGCTGCCACGCCCCATTTTAAGCCATAAGCATGTAGGCCACGACCGCACAGAGCCACACGTTTTTCTCGAAACTCGAAAAATTGTTTTCAAATTGCTTTTGTTGTTAGTTAAATGCGCGAATGAGAATGTGTGTGTGCGTGTGGAGGGGAAAAAAGGTAAAGGGGTGTTTTGAAATTACTTTTCTATACGTTCAGCGTTGAGTGTTTCCATGAATTTTTTCCGAAAATACTTTGAAAAGCGGCAGAAGCAAGCCAAAATCGTATTACGGGCTCTCATTGTGTACTTTTGTTGCCTACTTTTAGGCTTTGATTTGATTTGCCGTAATATATATATATGGGCCAAGAATGGGTACAAAGTCGGGCGTGGATCGATTTGAGGCATGCACTTTTATTTCGCTTGAAATTCAAAAATCCCCAGTAGTACCCATTCGCCATGTGGCCCGCGCAGCAGCCAATTAACGAGTAATTTTCTTCTTCCATTTTTATGTGTTTCTGTTTTTTTAATTAAACGAATGAATGCAACGAATTTTGGTCCATCATAATGGGCGACCTTCCGCATTCTGCGCTGGCAATTGCAATATATTTTTTCACATTTTTTTGCCGCCTCAATGGCAAGCGTAATAGCACCAAAAACAGCAACATCGTCGACGTGATCTTTGCTTTGGAATATCAAAAAAATATGCTTTTATTCTCTCAAAGAGATTTCACCAGTTTATTTAAAGAAAAGTTGTTGGTTCCTAAATTGTTTTGCTCTTTTTTATATTTTTCCTTATTCACACACTCCTAAATTCGAACACAAAACCAACGGACACTAACTTTTGAATTAATTCAATCAGAGTCCGTCCAACCGTGCGTTCCGTCTGAGTTGAAAATGTTGACTGCAGTGCCAGAAAATGAAGCCGCGGCCACAGAACCATCCGCAAGAAGAAGCATTAGCAGCAGCCGACGGGGCGGATGAGCGATTCGGCTCGGGTGACTTCGTATTGGTCCAGTGCGCCAGTGCCGCTCAAACTGTTTACTTCTTCATTTTGGCTGCTAATGAAGGTCTGCAGCACACATATTTGGAGATGAGGAAGTTGCAGGCATTGAAAAACCATAATTGGTCATAGAAAGCATTTGTTTCTTTGTGCACATAAAATAAATTGTCATAGAAGACTTTTGGCACACCTTTATTTCTATTTTAAAATATGTTCTGAAATAAAGTTGTACGTTTTTTATAACTAAACACAAACCAGATTTTATATTTAATCTAGACACCTTGCATTTTCTTTAAGTTTTTTACTTAATCTTGAAACATTTTTAACTGACCTTATAGTATGTTTCATCCGAAGTTTAATTGCAATATAAAACTAAACAAAAAAAATTGAATGTTCACAAAGAATAGTTGTCAAGGTTAATACGTAGCTTTTGGCAAATCAAAAACATTTTAATTAAAGTTTCATAGCTATTCATTACTATTTATTATCTTTTAATTTTTATAACTGACATTGTCTTTCAGACAGAAATAGTATGAAAACTATAGAGTCGGTTACTAACTTTCCGATCGTCAATGATCTAAAGTTCAATAAAGTTTGTAGAAGATGTCTGGGGTATGAGGTTTTATCTGAGCTCCAGATATCTTTTTGTCAATTTTATTAAATTATGAAATGCAAATTATGCTGCGCTTAGCAGAAAATATTTGGCCGGCGACACGACATTGAATTGGATGTTATGTTTACTTTGAGCTCGGCTGCTAGATAGCTTTAAACTCGAAATCAAAAATTTGTTTACAAATTATATTGTGGCTTATGTTAATTTTGATTCCATGTAAACATTTTCCTTTTTAGAGTCCGACAAAACGAAATAATACGATTTTTGCACAAGAAAATATTTGAATATTTACAGATTGACAAAGTACAAAAGCAAGCAGCGTTCAAACAACAGTTTGATGAATATCAGAAACAAGCCGCATAGTTGACTGCTTTAAACTGCTTGGAAAATGTCTCTAGACACTCTGCTTTGCACTGCTTTATCCAAACGAACTTAATTTCAATAGCAATATGCAAAATTTATAGCTACGAATATAACTGCCAAGATTTACTGCCCTTCAAAGTCATTTTTTATAATGATTCAGATAATTTGCTTATCAACCCCCACAAGGAACCGAACATGGCTCAACAATCTGATTATTTATTAAGCGGTTTAATTTTCAATTTATTGATCATTGCGTACTTTGTGACTAAGTAGCAAATATGATTTGACTCTGTTTGATCCAGTCAACGTACTGGCTCACCTTACAGTAGACACCCGGATAAGGGGCCACGGTGCAGGGTTTAACGCTCCATGACACAATTCCCACCTGCTGACCATTGTAGATGAGGGGACCACCCGAATCTCCGCTGCACTGACCCTTGCCGCCCTCGTCCACGCCCCCACAGATGTGATATTGGGGATCAGTTTTTCCTCCATGGAGCGTAGTGCACTCCTCGTCCGAGTAGATCTTCAAGGACACCTCCTGCAGGGTGTCCTGTACACTGCCATAGGTCTAAACGAAATATATATATGAAGCAATGGTTTTCTAAGGATCAGTGTCTACAAGACTGTGTTGTAAAAATAAACATCTGGGCAATAACTAAAAATTTCCATAGGTCTAAACGAAACGTAACTTGTAAAGTACCTCATTTAGACCCCATCCGAGGAGCACGCCCTCAACTCCGACACTCGATTGGGGAACGGCAAAGGCCAGGGGTGGCAATTCCACTGGACCCACCGAAACGCCATCAAACTCGAAGGGTTCCTCCACCATCAGCAGCGAAATATCATTGGCATTTTGCCGCGTGGGATCGAAGTCTGTGTGCTGGATAACTCTCTTTATGCCCACCACATTCGGACCGGTGGCATTAATATTGGTCACTCCATACTGAATCGATAGCGACTCTGCAGATCGCCCATTGGTGCAATGTGCGGCAGTCATCACAAACTGCTGGGAAACAATTGTGCCCCCGCAGGAATGGGATCCATCATAGCTACGCAGAGATACCTGGGATTTCGTATAGGTACATTCAAATTGATGAAATTAAACTGCATAGTTTTGAAAAGGATTTATATGAGTGCATTTATTTATTAGTAGTTGTAGCACATTGACCAAAAATGAAATTTTTAAAGCATATACTGTTAAACATATATTTTTGCACACTTTATAACTAAACGAAATGAATATCTTAATTGCGAAAACTATAATTACGCAAAGCAGTTTATAAAACAAGGATTTGTTTCTTGTCAATAAATTTTATTCCCAATTAGTAAATGCTTAAACTTTTTATTTTTGTTGTTCAAATACGTTTTACACTGTTTTATTAACATCATAAAGAGATGTACTTTGAATATACTAAATTTAATTTTTAAATTTAAAAACGTTTTACAACGTTTAGTTTATCATTTTACAGGCTTTATAACTAAATCCCTATTATGCACAAAAATACATTATTTTTTTTAATTTTGAATATATAGATTTCATTAAATACATCAAATTGTGTACCGCTAAGACGGCTCTGTTCTCACCACATAGGGATACTTTTCCACACTGGAGTCCGTGCCGTTGACGACTCTCAAAGTAGGCGCGGCCTGGGCGATTGTAGTAATGGCCAAGAGAGCGACTACCGCCAGACTGAGATCTTGATTCGACAACATTTTTGAGGCAATATGCTCCCCCTGGGTTGGCTACCGCTTTTATATACATCCAGACTTCGCCAATTCTGCCCGATTAATAATATTTACGATTCCAGATAGGACGTTATTGAATCTATCGTCATTGATATAAAATGGCACAAGGATGGCTCATTAAAAATTAAAAAAATAGATCAGCACACGGCCCAAAAGTGTATGGTTTTCCCAATGACTTGAGAAAAAGTTGATTATCGGATGTGTCGGCTAAAAATACTTTAAATGGCTATCGGGCTTTAATTCGTGAGTGGGCAAAAGAAACCGTTTTCATTTTTGGACGATTGCAATTATCAAAAATAGAAATAACCATCTTGGAATTAAATAAGTTTACAAAATCTGTGTAAATTACATTTTTCATATTAAAAAATAAATGTAGTATTTAGAACTTGTTTTTCGATTGCATTTATCAAATTTAGCTTTTTTTTAATCTGTTGTGAAATTAATAATGCTTATGCTATATTGTAAAATTAGAAATAGCCATACATTTAATTGTTTTTTAATTGCATTTACCAAATTTATCATAACCATTTTCATTGTTAAAACTCTCCGGAAATATACATTTCCGCTTAGTTTTAACAATAACATTTTACACAGATTTAAAAAAATAACCACTTATATTGTCGTTGTAAAAAAGACCAATCGCTTTATCATTTTGCTAATCAAAAAATCCGGCAAATCCCAGCCTGCTCTTTACCCCGATTTATGGTTTAAAACTGCACAACTTTAATCAGCTTGATTTATTACAGACAAATATAGCATTCCATGTTGACAAAGATAATGGAATGTCTATGCCAATATGATTTGGTTCTTCTTGATCCAGTCAATGTACTGGCTGACCTTGGTGTAGACACCCGGATAAGGGGGCGCAGTGCAGGGCTTGATGCTCCAGGACACGATGCCAACCTGCTGGCCATTGTAGATAAGCGGACCACCGGAGTCTCCGCTGCACTGACCCTTGCCGCCCTCGTCCACGCCCCCACAGATGTGGTATCTGCGATCGGTACGACCTTCATGTCGGCTTTCGCACTCCGCATCGGAGTAGACCTTCAAACCCACTTCCTGCAGAGTAGTCTGGATAGAGCCGCCAGTCTGAAAGAGATTTTAGAGGTTAAAATAGTTTCTTTTAACAAATGTCTATTATGGACTATTTTTTAGGTCATGTTTTCCTAAATTTACATTGTAGGCTCATTCCTGAGGCCATGTTTAATCCGTTGTTCCTTAAGGAATTAAATTAAGAATATTTTGAATGATGAAATCAAAACCTACCGCATTGAGTCCCCAGCCAATGAGAACGCCCTCGCCGCCGGCATCTGTTTGGGGCGTGGCATAAGAAAGATCGGGTAACTTAACAGCGGCAACTGCAACTCCATCCAACTCGAAAGGCTCCTCCACCAACAGCAAAGAAATATCATTGGCGTAGTTATTATACGGGTTGTAGTCCTCGTGCTGGATGATTTTCTTCACGCGCACAACATTCGGACCGGTGGCATTAATCTTGGTCACTCCAAACTGGACAGACAGATCTGTAGCTTTGCGTCCAGCGGTACAATGGGCAGCGGTCATCGCAAATTGCTTGGATATGATAGAGCCACCGCAGGAATGGGAGCCCTTGGAACCACGCAGCGAAATCTGCAGGATAATGGGGTACAGATTGAATATTCTTTCAAAATCAAAGACATGTTTTAAATAAAAAATTAATTTGAGGATATATATATATAAGATTTATTTAACCTTTTTGCCTAGTAATTCAAAAACTAAATTGTTCACCTTTTGAATAAACTTTCAAGAACAAAAATACAGTTTTTTGTAAAAAATTTAACTATTAACCAGCGAAATGACGCGAATTAAAATTATATCTCTTTTATATAAGTTTATTGGTGATGTATTTTCTTACCACAAAAGGATATTTATCCACGCTGGAGTCCGTGCCGTTGACCACACGTCCCAAGGGAGGAGCAGCCTGGGCAAATCCCGCAATGGCCAAGAGGGCAATACCCACCAGGCACAGATCTCTGTTCGCCGACATTTTTTGGCTAAACATGCGCGCTCGTCGTCAAACGGCGGCTTTTATAAGCTACCTGGCATTGCCGATACAGATTGATTACGATTATTTACGGCAATTGATAGTATTAGATTAAAAATCCTTGATTACAAGAGAGCGCCACTATCGCGTTATCTCCACACCAACATCAAACGACACTGGACTCCGGTAATCTTTAAACAATTTTAATCAAATTAAACACAATGAACAGAATGAAATACAAAAGCGGGGGACTTGACCAGCCCGGGAATGTGATGGTTCTCATTGAGGTGCGCTTAAAATAGAAAATAGAAGGTTTAAAACTTAACAACAAACAATTTTGGGTCAGTATACAAATCGGAAGGCCATCAGTGTTAGGACTTATACAACAAATACTAAACATACACAGAATAGCGGCTTTTGGGGAGCGGTTTTACAAAGAGCTGACGTAGAAAGCGAAACTAGATCTAAGTGTAGACATATGTGTATATCTGTATATTGTATACAAGATCATAGAAGGCTACGTGACTAACGATGTTTCGGTGGACATCGGGCTACAAAAATACTCTAACAAGTGCGCACCAGGCGCGGGAAATTGCTTCTCGAATTTAAATCTATATTTATTGGTTGACTACTGTATGCTGCAGCTGCGTACCGTGGAGAGCTTCTGCTCCTCCTCATCCATATGCTTGGCGCTCAAAATACTCTTGATGCTTTCCGCCTCCTTTATCCAGAACTCCAGCTAAAAAAGGGCATGGTTAATATAAAGGAATACAAGAACTCTATTTCAGCTATCACCTGTTGCAGCAGCAGATTTCGTCGCTCACCCTTTGGTTCATTGTTCACAAATGGCACTAAAATGCCCAACGCTGAGGTATACGACTCCAGTGCCGCGTCCAGCTTACGCTCGTAAAGATAAAGCTCGCCCTTCCGTCCGATCTCCAGGCCAGTCTTCAGGGACGGACTTGTATGCGAGAGGGCAACTATTGTGTTTTTTTGAAAAGAAAGTAAAAAAAAAATAATATATGTTTCGAATTTTATCCGTCCATATTTAAAATCAATAAAGCTATAAAAATCATTCGATTCATATGAGTTATAAGTGTGGGTCGAGAAGAAGTAGAATTTGTTTTAAATCTTACAAAGCTGTTTATAGCGGGCATCTGGTTCTAGCATCTCTGCAACCCGCGAGCTGCTGGGCTGCGAATCGGCAGCCTCGGCAGCTGGAGAAGGCTCTGTGGTTTGGTTAGCTGTGGCAGTTGACGTTGAAGACGCCTGAAGACGTTGTCGCTCGGCCAGCATTCTGTACTCGTCCTCGATTATGCAATTCTTGATCTCCTCGGCGCGTTTCGTATAGGACAAGGCACGATTGCGCAGTGCCAGCCTCTTGGTTGCGTCCGCCTCCTCCGTGATCAGCGGCACAAAATATTGCAGTGCACTGCAGTACAGATAGTAAGCCTCCTTGTAGTTGCGTTTCTCATCGTATGAGCAGGCCTGAGTGACCAAATCGATGGCCTTTTGCAGGGTATGCTCCGTGGGAAATGTTTTGAGATCGAGGAATGGGTGCGCAAAGAAGTCCGCAAACGAAATGCGCGCCATGGGCTCATGGGCCAAAAGGCGGCGCAAGAGATCGTGACACTCGTTCGAAATGCGAGCATTTGGTGGCAGTGTAATTGCCTCGGCCCTCTTGATCTTCAGCAACAGTTCCTCAATGGTTCGCGAACTGTATGGCGCTTTGCCGAACAGGCATTCGTACAGGATCACCCCAATGCTCCAGAGATCCGCCTTGGCATCGTACTGATGCTTGCGCACAATTTCCGGGGCCATATAGAGGGGAGAACCCTTCAGCTGCTGGTTGATCTCGCCCAGCTTCAAGTGCTGAGCGAATCTATAAAATTTTTAAGTAATTAATTGCATTACTTAATTAAGTAATGTGTGATAGCTACCCAAAGTCCGCCACCTTCAGGGACACATTGTTTGCTCCTCGGGTGAGCAGCAGGTTCTGCGGCTTAAGGTCGAAGTGGGACACATCGTTGGCTCGCATATACTGGACAGCTGCCGCCAACTGGCGCAGAAAGTACCGGCAGGTGCTCTCCGGCAAAGCCTTCTTGGTGCGTATAAAAGCGGACAAATTTCCGGCATTGCAATACTCCAATACGATGTATATGTTTCTGTTTCAAGGGGTTAAAAAAGTGGAAAAAAGTTTGTAGTATTACAAACTTTTAGTATAGCTATAGTAAAACTGTTTAAACTTGTTTAAAGTATAAAGTGGAAAATCATTATAATATTAACATAATATCAAGGTAATGTTAAATATGAGGTTTAAAGTAAGAATGAAACTTAGTCAGAAAAATGTGAAAACAGGAGTTTTGTGTTAAATGTATGTTAAAGGGTTAAACTAGTTAGAAAACAATTGTATAGACTAGAATTTAGCACATAACTCAAGCAGATATATTTAAATATAACCACTATGTCCATCCTTAAAAGATTTGATTACAGACTGGGAAACCAAGTTTTAAATAAATATATTTAATCTCTAAGTGATAATTTGTTTGCCAAGGTAAGGTTTAATAGGACCTATCAAGTTAGAACCACCTTTTCCGTCCTACATATCCTATAAAGATGATTGATCGATAAGTATTTTCTTTTAATCCTTACTAAATCGTTTAACCAAATGATTATTTGCATGCCAAGGTAATGTTGAATGAAAACTCTCAAGTTAGTGATACCACCACATATGTGTATCCTATATCCTGCTATAAGGATGATTCATCGTCGGGAATGTGTGGAAACTTAATTACTTGTCGTCCCAGAAGAAATCCTGCAGGGTCACAATGTACTTGTGTTTCAGATCCCTTAGGAGGCGTATTTCCGTGATAAGGTTTTCCCGCGAGGTTTGCGACAGCGTCGACATTTCCACGTACTTAATCGCATGATAAGACCGCTGTTTCTGCGTAGATAAAAGGGAAATATTAGTAATATATTGGTTATATGTATATATGTAAGTAAGCCACTCACTTTGTGCCGCGCTTTATAGACGGTCGCATAGCTGCCCGCTCCCAGTTTTTCGAGTATTTCGAAATCCGTGATCCTCGGCAGTGACATGTCATTTAGTTCTGATATTTTATATATTCTAAATGTTTATGTTTTTCATTTGTTGTTTTAGACCTTCGCTGTAGTGGTGGAGAAACTACGATGCCAACATCGATGTCAACCGATGTCAACGATGTTTTTAAAGCATCGGCCTTATCGTGTTAGGGTGTGCTGGCATCTATCGATATATCTAAAGAAAATTATCGAATTCAAATGGAAAGATCACGCGCCAAATTTTTTTTTTACTGAATAGTTGACTTTAAAACTAAAGTTTCTTATGATTCAATTAAATTAAATGATAAAAAATTGTTACGTAGTAGTCGTTAGTAGTCAGTAGTAGTAACTTTGCGTAGGGTTTTAAAAATTGTTATAATACTAATTACACAATTTGACTAAATTTATAATAATTTATAATGATTAACAATTGTGTGAGTAAAAATAACAAAATATTTGTTTTGATTTGAAACGCAAAATTCAAAAATAAAAATAGAAAATAACACTGTATTACTTATATGTACTCAGAAACATGTTGGCTGCCTTGATCGGCAGATTTATATATATCTTTAAAAGTAAACACAAAATATTTAAATATTTTAAAAATTGAGCGCTCTTCAAACAGCTGATTGGTAAGTGCAGCCCATCAATATATCTATCGATAGCACTTGTTGCTCTATCGGTTTAGTTTATTTGCAGCCCTGCAAATTACTAAGCCCTGATTCGTGTGTTTTGTTTTTGATGCGTTGCGAAGTGATTAATTTTTCGTTTTTTCGAGGTAAATAAATGCAAAGGCACTGAAACTATTCTCCCGTGTAATCTTCAACGATATTAGAATAACCAAACAAAGATAGATTCTTAGTTATCACTGTGAAAGAAGCTTAAAACGTTTCCTAAAGTTTTCGAAAATTTCAAGCCTTACTTGACACACCCAAAATACACAAATTAAGCAAACACGCCCAGGCCAATAAACGAATAATGTTGAAGATTCCCCACACTAACATTGAGCTTTCAAATTTTTTAGTACTTGCTTAAAAGGATTCTCAAAGGATCCCTCAATTTGACACACGTGACGTGATTTAGAAGGCTTCATGATGAATTACGGCAGGAAAACGCCCTCCACATATCGCTCCAATCCGTCGGTTTATTCCCATGCCACGGGAAGGTAATAAATATATTATGAACAATATCAATCTTCAGCTAATTGCTTGTTATATTTTTGTCCAGATCTTCGACGAATTTGCACTCGAAAATGTCCCGATCCACGCGATCCGTTAGGATTCCCTGGTACCAGAGACCGCTGCTCAAAAACAACCAATATATCGACATACAAAAGGGTGCCATGCTCATCGGATTGTTTGCCATTGTAAGATCCCTAAACCTATGTTAAGAAAGTCCTTATTTACCATGTTTAATCGTTTCCCAGTTCCTATCGCTGTTTACCATTGCAACCAGCATCTTCGACATCTACTGCTATGCTATGGCCGCACCAGGATCCACACATTACGGCTACTATATCATATCCTACGAGTTCGTCTATGTGGGCAACAAGCATGGTAAGGACTTTAAATGGGGCAAAAGTTTGGATTCCTGGTTAGAAAGGTACAACTTTCTATTGGCACTTTAGATGCCTGATTAAATAACTTTCAAAATAATTAGTTTTTTATTTAAATAACTTCCGCCTTTATAATATGTAAGTCGATTTGATTCGATTTTTTAAATTATTTTTTTCACTAGTTTCGATTCCTGATTAGAAAACTTTTAAATTTCTATTGGCACTTTAGTATTATTAGCATTAGCTAAGATTTCTGATTAGACATCTTTACAATTTTTATTGGAACTTTGGTATTAGGGACTTAAATGCATTCCTGATTATATTACATTCAAAATTCTTTTGGCACTTAATTATTGATTTATTTGTTTATATAAATAATACCCGCGTTAGACTACAATAAGTTTATACAAATAACTACTGTTATAGCTAAAATAAGTTACTACACGTAAGACTTTGTTGATATAGCCTCAATTTTCTCTACTCAAAGTTATTTAATTGAAAAAATATAATTAATTTAAAATAAATCATGTTACTATTTTTAATTCCAAGCAAGCCTGACTCCATTTCATACAATAATGTATTTTAATTCACATAATTTTCTTACAGTTCGCAACATGCTGATTGTCTTTGCATTGTTCTCGTTAATTATGGCGCTGATAAACTTTGTGACCAGCGTTCTTCTCTGCGTGGCTTTGCGCAAGGTAAGTTAGGATCTCTGGATCCTTCGGCTATAGCATGCAATTCATTTACATTTCTCATTGCCCGAAAGCATAAAAAACTGGGAGCACAGAAACGCTTACTGAGCAAAAGGGTAACACAAACTCATCCTGCACAGTTAAAAATCATGAAATTAGCACAGAAACCGCTCGATATATTGGCCATATTCTCTTCTTAAAAGTATAAATCCATTCTAATCCTGGTTTTGTCTAATCCTACAGGAATATGAAAGAAAGGTTATGCCTTGGCTGTGGACCTTTGCCGTTTTCACTGTTTGGCGGGCTTTGGCGCTGATCTTCTTTGCCATCGTCAACGATCTGTATTTTGCCTATAACGTGATTATGGTGCTGCTGTGGAGCGTTTTCTGTCTCTTATCCATTTATGGATGGGCCGTGGTGTACTCTCTGTTCCTGGAACTGGTGGATCTTACCAAACTAGAGGACCTGGCCCATTTACGCGTAGGTTTTGGAAGACATTACACTCAAAGTATGATAATGATGACTATTTTTACCTTTCCAGATGGGCACAATGGCCTCGCTGCACGCCTCCACCGCCAATTCGCTGGCTGGATCACGGCCAACCACGCCTCATAGCACCGTATCCACCATGCCAGTGGGCTAAGCGAAGTATTTTCCATCCATCTAAGGAGATCACAACGAAATTGCACAATCTAGACCGTCCGAAAAAGCAGCACTCAAAACATTTCTTAAACTATATATTGTACATTCCATCCAACAGTTCAGTGCCTTAGAGATGCGCCTCTCGATCACCATTTTATACAAAATCAGCGTAATTAGATTTAAGAAGTATTCCGTCCATATCGTATATGTTTTTCCCTGTATACTGTTGAAGAATCTCTGCCTTTATGTATGTCAACATATTGAGTTTTTTATATGCATACATACATAGATGTACAACCCGAATTGTAGCTATGTATCTAAAATAATAAGCGACCAGCAATATACAAAATACAAAACCGAAAATATGAGTCTAACGACACCTCTCCTGGGACCATTTTCCGGGCGTTAACCAAGACGCCCACAGTTCGACAGCATTTTTCTATGATTACAGAACTCACAGAAATCCCTTGGACTTTCCATAAGTATATAGAAATATGTAAAACATTTTTGGGGTTTAAATTAAACATTTTTTTTTCATTTCATTTGTAGTGTCATTAATAATTAATTAAAAATATTTTTTTTTAATTTTTGGTTATCTTCTACGATTTTAAATTCCAGAACCAGTAATTTCCAACAAAATCTTACAAAATTAACATACATTTTTAGCAGGAACGGAAACAGCTAAGATTAAGAAGACTAAGTTCAACAACTGCTCAGAACTCGATGCCAGGATGATGTGGATTTTTCCTATAACCGAAAGGGGATTCCAAATCGCAACTGGAATTTCCTGGCCCCAACAGCATATCCCATCAATCTTTAAAATACAATTGCCGGACTCGTGTGATTGCAGCGTTCAAAGTCAGTGCTCTGGTCATTAACACCCGAAATTATTAGCCCCACACCGCAAAGTGGGGCATTTCAAGTACACACAAGCACAAACATTCGCAGTGGGATGTGTGGAGGCCAAACAAAGTTCAATCAACTGTTTTTGTTAATCATTCCTTTGGATGACGACAACTCCGGCGATTTCTAAGTACTATTCGGTGGTGGTAAATTGGTGAATCGGAGCTCCTTTCCCACCCTTTCCCCTAAAAAAATTTCCCTCGAATTTTTATACCCTTGCAGAGGGTATTATAATTTCAGTCAGAAGTTTGCAACGCAGTGAAGGAGACGTTTCCGACCCTATAAAGTATATATATTCTTGATCAGCATCACTAGTAGAGTCGATCTAGCCATGTCCGTCTGTCCGTCTGTCCGTCCGTCTGTCCGTCTGTCCGTCTGTCCGTCCGTTTATATGCAAACTAGTCTCTCAGTTTTAAAGCTATCTGCATGAAACTTTCCCAAAAGTTGTCTTTCTATTGCAGGTAGTATATAAGTCGGAACGAGCCGGATCGGACGACTATAGCATATAGCTCCCATAGGAATAATCGGAAAAATAAATGAAAAAAAATTATAACTTTGCTGTTTTTTAATTTTTTGTTTAGTTCTTCAACATATAGTAATGGTTAAATATTTCCGATTTACGGTTTAAATTTCATCAAAATCGGTCGACTATAGCATATAGCTCCCATAGGAACAATCGGAAAAATAAATGAAAAAAAATTATAACTTTGCTGTTTTTTAATTTTTTGTTTCGTTCTTCGAGATATAGTAATGGTTAAATATTTCAGAATTATGTTTTAAATTTCATCAAAATCGGACGACTATAGCATATAGCTCCCATAGGAACAATCGGAAAAATAAATGAAAAAAATTATAACTTTTCTGTTTTTTAATTTTTTGTTTAGTTCTTCGACATATAGCAATGTTTAATTATTTCAGAATTATGTTTTAAATTTTATCAAAATCGGACGTCTATAGCATATAGCTCCCATAGAAATAATAAAAATATATAAAATAACTATCTAATAATTGAGCTGCAAATCATCATAGTTTCAATGTTTTTCAGCATATACTCAAGTAAATCATAATTTAAATGTTTTCAAAAGTATTTAATTCATGCAATAGCTGCAAGGGTATATGAACTTCGGCTTGCCGAAGTTTGCTTTCTTTCTTGTTTATCTTGAATTGGAATAATTTCTCGTTTTAAATAGGAGAAACCAAGTGGGGTAATTTAAACTATTGCTTTTGAAATTCAGATAGAAAACAAACTACGTCATCGAGCGACGTTTCTTTGTGGTCTTTGTGAAGTCTTGCTCTTAGTGTTGTTATTTGATATATTTTATGGATATATTTAAGTTCGTTTCTTAGTTAGCAAAGGTC